ATATGAACAAAATGATTCATTACCGTTTCTTGATGTAATGGTTTACAAAAAAGAAAATGGAATTATGGGACATCGAGTCTACAGAAAGAACACCCACACCAACCAATATCTCCATTATAACTCGTTCCATCATCCAAGCCAGAAAATTTCAGTCATCGATAGTCTTGTCACACGGGCTCTAAAATTATCTGATGATACAAATATGGAAGAAGAATTAAAATTTGTCACTGACGTTCTGATTGGAAACCATTATCCTAAGTCAAAGATTACATCACGAATCAACTACTTACGAGAGAAGTTGGCAAATCCCACGGACAAATCTGATGACAATAAATGGATTGCTCTACCATTCACTGGAAGTCTATGCAAAAGACTATCAAGATTACTTCGCAAAAATTTAGACGTCAAAATTGGTTATTTTGCTGGAACCAAGCTATCGTCTCTACTCTTCAACTTTAAAGATAAAAAAGAAAAGTCAACTGCGGAATATATAAAATAAAATGCAAACAATGTGCAGATGTATATATTGGAGAATCTGGACGAGACATTTTAACAAGACTTGAAGAACATGAAGCACACATAAGAAGAAATCGAGTCCAAGCTTCAGCAGTAGCCCTTCACATGGCGGAAAATCCGGGTCACGAGATTGATAAGGCCTCTTTCAAGTTAATTGAAAGAGAAACCCGATACTTTCATCGAAAAATTAAAGAGGCATTGTACATCAAGAAATCGACAAATACAATGAACACCAATAATGGAATGAAAATTAATTCCATATGGACACCAACGATTTTACCATTTATAAAAAATCCGTAAATTACCAAGAGGATTAATGTAATTTATCAAGTTATAGAAATTGTGAGAGTGATTAATTGTAAAATATTTATATTATCTACGTTGACCCTGAAGAAGGCAATATTTATTTGCCGAAAGCTTGGCGAAGCAAAATAAAACTGTAAAGTTTACAAAATAGTCCTCCTAGACCGTTTCACAACATTTTTATCAATAATGAGAGGATGGAAAGATGTCATAAACTTCAGAAATAAAGTAAATACGAATTAACACGCAACAGGTAATTATTTTCTCATGGAAGGGCTAATCAAAATTCTAACCTAACTTTGCAAACGTAAAGACTATCGATTTTTAGGTACAATAAAATCGTCATTAAAAAAGCGTACGGAGATGAACATGTTTCAAAATTTGAAGAAATTGAAGAAATGCAACTTGAGACACAAGTTCAAAATCCGCATACAATGCCACCTTAAGATGAGCCTTCATGTTCCCTTGAGGAGAACTTAAAATTAGTTCTCCGCCGTTAGTCTACACTGAAGACTATTCCGTGAAATTTACGTGAACATTACTTTATAAAATTCTGTATTTTTAACTTAACAAACTGATCAAATCAGATTTTAGATCACAATTTCTACGTAACTAATGAAGAAGAAAATTTATAAATTTAATGTTTAATTGAAACAGAACAGAAACTAAGCCAAAACGTCAATCGAATCCTAACTAACAAATAAATAGGGTAACATCTAGATTCTAGACGTCCCTTTGGGTCTTTCATTTTTTACTGGGAAAATGAGATTTGCGTTACGTTACACAGGGGGGAGGGGGGTAGTGGGCTTGCGTTACACTAGTGTGACAGAGGGGGGGGAGGGGACTGAAAAAAGTCGATTTTTGCGTTACATAATTTATGAACGGCCCCTTATACATATTAAAAATAGTAATATTACTGTTTTGAAAAGTACATAAATGCAGTTTCAATTCGAAATTAAGTAACCTATACCAAGTCCAGACTACATAAACGTTGCTTGATATATCCCTTGAAATTACGCTATAGTAGCGGAGTTTTATAACTCTTTGTTAAATTTAGCTGACAACTTCCCTTGCCAAAGTTTGTATTGAAACTTCCGATTTTAAATAATTGATACCTCCGCAGACAGTACGAAAACAAAAAATGCAATTTTTAAGAAATTACTAGATTTTGCATGAATCATGCGCCATCTAGCAACACGCCCTATGTAGTATAGTGAAGTAGGCTCCTGCGCCTTGAATTTCTTGCAGGTCAAAATAGCTGCAAGAAATTTGCGGTTACATATTTGTTACATGTGTTTATTTACTTTACCCCAAACATTGAACCATTTCAGCCCCTCTTCAGTTTTAACTCATTTTTTACTTTGTGGGGGGAACCTTTAAAAAATTTATAATTTATTCAGCTCAAGTGATTCGATATTTTAATTGTTTAATGTGTGAAGTTCCGTTTATGGGGGGTTGACTGCAGTGATGGTAGTGATGAGGCAGATGAGACGATCGTCGTCGTTGTTGTGGTGTGTGCGTAATAATTGTGAGGCGAGATGAGACTTGATTGCACTTTTCTTATAGAGGTTTTATTCATTACTTGGACAACAGGCAGAACTCTGCCTCTCCCAATAATATTGGGAGAGGTAACCTGCAGTAGCACAAAATACTTCCTCGACCGTCCTCCACCGTTTTCGTCTGGTGGCTGCGCTTTCGCTTATATATCCTAGCAATACCTAATTGATACCTATGTGTTGACCGATTATGAACCGGTTGGCCACGCTGAATAGAGATATCTCAGATGAGGTTGTGACGAAGCTGGTTTGCAACATTGTCTCTTGTTTGTAAGAGATGATGGAGGTGAGTGGCATACTAATTAAGGCAACATTGTCTCTGGTTTGTATGAGATGATGGAGGTGAGCGGCATACTAATTAAGGGGTTTGGCATTAATGAAGTTGACCAAACCTGCTCTTTCACAATATCCACCTTTAGTAAGCGGTGGCCCTACCGCAACAAACGAAAAAATGCGAGATTTAATTCAGTCAGATTCTGTGTACCTACTTGGCGTCAACGTATTCAGAAAAGTCGGGAAAATTCGTCAAAAAATCCAAGTAAGTAAATTTGTGTTTTTTTTCAATTAAGTATGGAGGGGTATGTATTCACGATGGTGGTGGGTGGACAATTGCATGTAAACTTTGTTGACGTAAAGTGTGTTCGTGAATGAAATATAATGGGGAGGTATTTTAGCAGAATAAAATGCATGCATAAATGCGTGCATGGCTGGTAAAATTAAAGAAAAAACAAATTTTTAAAACTTATGTAGGAAAGTCGGAAAATTATTAAGGAAAAATTAAAAATGAGGTAGCAGATTTTGATGGAAACAATTAAGATACTTAGATAGGAAAATTGTTAAAATTGGGATTTTGAAAAATTGCCAAAAATTAAAATTCTTAGATAGGGAAATTGTTAAAATTGGGAGTTTGAAGAATTGCAAAAATTAAAATTCTTAGATAGGGAAATTATTAAAATTGTGAGTTTGAAAAATTATAAAAATTAAAATTCTTAGGTAGGAAAATTGTTAAAATTGGGAGTTTGAGAAATTGTAAAAATTAAAATTCTTAGATAGGAAAATTGTTAAAATTGGGAGTTTGAGAAATTGTGAAAATTCAAATTCTTAGATAGGAAAATTGTTAAAATTTAGAGATTGAAAAATTACAAAAAATTAAAATTCTTAGATAGGAAAATTATTAAAATTGGGAGAGGAGGACTGCATGTGTGTAGTCGATTGTGGACCGGATTGGAGCTGTCTGAAAAATATATATGTGCCCGGCAGGTCGAAGCAGAGTGAGCCAAAGACAGAGGAGTGCCAGATGTGAAAACAATGGTGTGATGACGAAAATACTAAAAGTAATAGACGATGAGTTATGAGTGTCAAGAGTTATCTAAATTAGTTCATAGATCCTACAATTAAAATGTCTTAGAATGTAACAGAAATTAATGTAAAATAAAAAGTACTCTAACAATTAAAGAAAAAATTGGTAAACAATAATGGTGATTAATACTGGGCTAAAAATTACGGAAATTAATATTGTCCTTATGAGTAGTTATGGTTACCTGTTCTTAAGATGGGATTATAATGATGATAAAAAAAAAATTATTAGTAACATGTGTTGGTTGATGTGTTTAGACCATGGTGGTAATCAAAGAATTATCTACTAGGCCGATAGTACGGGATGTCGTGCCCTATCTGCCCATCGCAGGGAGCGGATTGGACGTGTCCCCTTTATTGATTGGGGGAAAAATGTATGATTATATGATTAAGAGATGATAATGAGAAATAACAAGGTCCTGGTGATGGGAAGGGCAGGTAAACCTAAAGTTGGTCGTTATTGCAGGGTGTCCTGGGGAAGGGGGCTGCGTTTCTTCATCACCGAGAAGTGGAGGACGGACCCTCCGAAGAGATGGGGCCTGAAGATTTGGGGCTGACGGACGGGAGTTGCGTGGTCCTCCGTCACCCCAGTTGGTCCCGTGAGATTGCGCTCTTTCCGCCCCGGGACGATTTGAATCTGCACAGCAGGTTTCTTCCGAACGAGCTCAAATTAGGAAGGTCGTCGGTGGACCCAAATCTGGAGTAAGTAAATTGACTTATTCCCAGGCAAGGGTGTATTTGGTGCGTGGGTTGTGTGATGTATAAATGGGCATTTTGCCAGGATTATCTTGGGGCCTCGGATGAGGTTCCGGGTGACGCCTTTCTATGATGGGGTAGGTGTCCACCATGCCCGGTGGGTACCGCAGACGACGTTGGACTTGGGATTTTTGGCGAGGGACTCCAATCCCGTGGAGGACGGCAGACGTCTGGTTGTGAGGGCGAGGAGTACCAGCCTCCAATTTCTGTGATGGAGGTGTCCCCCAACGAGTCGCGTCGAAGTCTTCGACCTTTGCCGCATCGCAGAGAAGATCGTGGTCATGTTTTGGGGTACAACCTATCCGAGTGTCGAGTTGTGTTAACTCGCCTTCCTGAGGTAGGCTCAGGGAGTGGCAGGCTTCTGGAATCGAAGTCATAGATTTAACGTGCTCAGGTGAGGTGCTATTGTTGTCATATGGTTTGCTCAGTTAAGGCTGATTATGTTGTTGTAGCTTGCTTCTATGCTTCTTGTTAGATGATGACGCCGCAGCAGTTGGCACGGTGGTAAGTAGTTATCGTAGAGATGTCTGTGGATTGGTCTGTTTTTATTGATTTTTTTTGTTGTTTGTTTGTGTTTTATTATTATTTATGTCGTTTTTTGTTTGGGGGGTGGTTGTGTTTGTGTTGGTTTATTTTTTGTTCTTTCTTGCGAGTGGAGAAGTAATGGTGACATGTGTGTTTAGGAGGTGGGCCACAGAACTGAAATGCAGCCGGGTAGTAGTGGTGGAAGAGGGACAACAGGCGGCAGGAATTATCAAGTAAGGGATGAGTTGTTTGCCAATTTAATAAAGATGAAACCCCTGAGTAGATGACCTGATAAAAAGATTGACTGTCGGAAATGGTTTGTATGTAGGTCCAATATTCGGGACCGGTGTCTTCGGAGGAGGAGGAGGACTTGGAGGCGTTGTTTGTTAAGGTGAGGAGCCGGGCTAGTAGTGTGTGGATGTAGGGGGGCGCACTTGCTTGAAAAAAAATGATGGCCTGAAATTGTTTGAATTTGGCAGGTGAAACGTGTCCGGAAGGAGAAGAAGTCTTCCACTGGTGCAGGTGAGACCGAGAGGAGCGCCAACCAGGCCGGTGGTAGCGGGAGGGTGATGGCGGAAGGAAAAACGAGGATAAAGGCCAGGTCGAAAAAGGTAATTGAAACTGAGTAAGGGAGAACCGTTGTTGGAGGGGTTGGACAGAGGTGTAATGGCGAAGATAATAATTAATTGTCTTGATGATTTCAGTGGTTTCGGAGGAGGTGTCCATGTGGCCATGTCTTCATCGCGATGGACCGATGGAGGTATCACCTGAAGAACTGCAACGGCGGTTCTTGCAATCCAGGAAGATGTCATCTGATAGGATGCCAAGGAAATCCTAATCCAGAAGTAGATTATCGTCGTCGTAGATAAGTTTTTGCTGTGTCCAATAATTTGTAACTCTGGTTAATTGTTTGCTGTCTAAATAAATTTGACAAAATTTCCAATATCTCCAATAATTTGTAACCGTGGTTAATTTTTTTTGTTGTTGAAATAAAATTGACAAAATTTTCAATATCTCCAATAATTTGTAACCGTGGTTAATTGTTGGTCTTCTGAATGAAATTGATGGTGCTGAGTGGGTAAAACGGGTGTCTGAGTTGCTTGAAAGAACGAGAAGGGTGGGGTGTGGGGGTTCAGATGGACGCACGAGAGAAGGATCGAGTCGCCGGAAGTTGAGCCGCAAGCAGGGGGAGATTAGGGAGGGCATGGGTGAGGAGGTCTACGGTGTAAAGAAAAGAAATATCCGTTGTTTGTTTTATTGCTGAGGCGGATCAGCTGGATGAGATTGCAGTGTTGGAGAGCATGGCGTTGAATCTGGGGGTGGGGACGGCCTACTGTTAGCCGGCACAGGCCTTGAGGGAGTGGATGGAAGTGGTGGGGAAGGTTTGGAGCCGTCGGCGGGTATGTTCGGGTAGAGTGGGGGGATTGGAGAAGTTTCCTCGGTTTCGATTGGTTGTTCGGCGTGATCTTGATACGTGGTATGACGCGGTTTAAGACGCGGGAGATAGCGGGGGGAGTGAGAACAAGAACAAAGTTGGTACGCGTATGACAGGAGGCCCCTTTTGGGAGGGCGTGGAGGTAGTAAACGTAGCTTTCCTGGCACCGGTAGGAGTTTTGAAGGGGGAAAAATGGTGAGTTTTTCATTGTGTCGTGTGCAGAATCCATAAGCGCCATAATAGGTGAGGAGATTGATGTTGGTGAATAATTCCGGGTGTAGGGCTGCGAATTCGTTGAACCATTTTTCATCCACTGCTGTAGAGTCGGTGAAATTAAAGGGGCGTGGAGGTGAAAGGCTGGACGTAAATTTTCCACACATTTGGAGGAGGTGGTTGGGGGTGAAGAAAAAGTTCGCATCAAAAAGTCGAAGAAGTTCCGAGGCCAATTGCAATTCTTCTAGATAGGTCAGCATGAGGATTGAGTTGTTGTACGCCCGAAATTGGGTGGACGAGAAGGTGGACTTCGGCGACTTGGGAACTTGGTGGTACATGGCACGGGAGGATGAAATCCTCCTCTAGAGAAGTTGTGTGGTCCTGATGAACTGGTCGTCGTTCACTGTCACAGGGTGGAAGATACAAGACGGAGGAGCCAGTGTCTGGGGCGATACTGCAGGTTGCGAGGTGAAGAGTGTCGTCTGGGAGAAGAATATGGGTTGGTGGGTGATGGGTGTTATGGCCCGAGGAAGGGTCGAGTTGGATAGTCGGCAGGATGAGTATGGACAATGGAGGCAGGAGGGAGACTGGTTTTGAGCAGGGAGAATCAGGTGAGAATGAGGGTATCGTAATAAGAGCGTCCATGTGATGAAGGTCGTTCTTCCTCGTTGTAAATATGAGGTTGGCCGAGGAGTCCTGTCGATGCGGAGAACAGATTTTTTTTGTGAGGTTCAGGTGTGCGATAAACGGTAGAAGGAGGGTCGGAGCTAGATTGTGGTCCGGGGGTCGGATCGTTGTAAGTGAGACGGCTAATTGTTTGTGATCAGCATGGGAGATGAGCCCTGAAGCGAGGAGAGTAATATTGTGGTCCAGTTGGTCCACAAGGTATATGGATTGAGAATAACATCGGGGGCGAGTAAAGTGTTGAGTCAACCGGTGAGGTGAGGTATTGAGTATATAGAGGTAGTGTAGAAGATACCGTTATACTAAACGTATTGCTGAGTCGCGTACGTGGTTCGTGAACAGACGGGGAGGTACGTAGTAGCGATTAAGAAAGAAAACTAATGTAATTGAGCTGACAATTCGCTACTGGTTGAATGACAGATCGAAGGTTGCCTAATACTGGAAAAAATGTGCAGACGAAGGTGACCAGGAGGAGCTTACTAGAGTTAAATCTTAAGGTAGGGGAGTGAGGGTACTCATTAGGAGATGCCCATCGAGGTCTATACGCAACGTAAATGCACAGGAGAAGGAACTCTCCTGTGGATTTATGATTATCGCGTCGTGAGTTCTCTTATATATTTAATGCGGCGAATGGTTGTGGGGACCATAGAGCGACCGCTGTTTAATATGGTAGACTATCCGGGTTTCGCTTCTAAGTAATAGTTATGTGGAACAAAAGAATGTCTACGTAATCCTAGATATCGAAAATAACCTATGGAAAAGGGCAAAAAAAATACACAGGAGAAAGAATTGTGGATTTTTTTTTTTTTTTTTGTAAATCCTATGGGTAGGTTTTATAATACGTATGTATATATATCTGGATGACCGGTAAGTATTTACTACTATTGTATTACGGGGATAGTCAAGGGGACCATCCTGGGTTCGCCGTGATACGTATAGAATTAATACAGCTATCTGGGTGACCGGTAATTATTACTATTTATTACTATTGTATTACGGGGACAGTCAAGGGGACCATCCTGGGTTCGCCGTGATACGTATATAATTAATACAGCTAGTGTAATATGGTGATCTAATTGAGAACGTTGCCGAGGGGCAGAGGTTGGTCAAACTCTGCCTGGTTTAAAAGTATGTGGGATAGAGAAATTCGTGTGTCGCGAGGCGACGCAATCAGGGCATGAAGGAAAAGGAATGTTGCCACCGGCGGTATGGGGGGCGAGGCGTTGGCTTGGTGACAGTCTGTCACACCGACGTCGTGAAGATGGGGGGTAGAGAGGGAATGGCGCGTTTTGTAGTGATGACACTTCGTCACACTGCAGTCGTGAAGGTGGGTCGATTTTGAGAGAGGGGGTGCGGCGTCCTTCTCTCCTTCTGACAAGGAGAGGCCGCCGTGGGTACCAATGTGAAGTTCCGTTTATGGGGGGTTGACTGCAGTGATGGTAGTGATGAGGCAGATGAGACGATCGTCGTCGTTGTTGTGGTGTGTGCGTAATAATTGTGAGGCGAGATGAGACTTGATTGCACTTTTCTTATAGAGGTTTTATTCATTACTTGGACAACAGGCAGAACTCTGCCTCTCCCAATAATATTGGGAGAGGTAACCTGCAGTAGCACAAAATACTTCCTCGACCGTCCTCCACCGTTTTCGTCTGGTGGCTGCGCTTTCGCTTATATATCCTAGCAATACCTAATTGATACCTATGTGTTGACCGATTATGAACCGGTTGGCCACGCTGAATAGAGATATCTCAGATGAGGTTGTGACGAAGCTGGTTTGCAACATTGTCTCTTGTTTGTAAGAGATGATGGAGGTGAGTGGCATACTAATTAAGGCAACATTGTCTCTGGTTTGTATGAGATGATGGAGGTGAGCGGCATACTAATTAAGGGGTTTGGCATTAATGAAGTTGACCAAACCTGCTCTTTCACAAATGATAATGTCCAAAAATTTTAAGAAATTTACCACTAATGATATGAAAAATGGCGTTGGACAAGCCTTCAGGATCTACGAGTGATCCACTTCTCGACGTGAATATGCCCTGACCCAAATTTGGGTACATGTAAAATGACGTCATAAAGGGGGGAAGGTGCCCACCGTGTCCAGTTCGTTCCCAACCTGTCAATTACAATTAGTAACAATTTTATTAAGCAGGGGTACAAATTCATAACCACGCTTTTAAAATACTCAGCCAGTATCAAATTTAACAAATAGATCGGAACTTACCGTCATAATTCCCCCATGTACATACAAAGACCGTACGCCACACTGAGCCTAATTATTGCGTCGGGATCTTCAACATTTCTCGGGAAACCGGCGTAAATCGTGCTGACCGGTGTCGTCAATCAACCCATGACTTCCTAGAAATTTATGAGCAAACAAATTTTAAGTAAGGGAACAAAATCAGAAAACTTGATTTTTTTTCACATACGTCAGGAACGACTTGGACATCTCCAACCTTGCCCTTGTTCAAGTGAAAAAGCATATATTTTGCCATGTCGTTGGCGTTGGTTAAAATTCCACCGCCACTCGGAATGGGTGCGATGGACCTTATAAATATTTATAAAATCTAGATAAGTACATTAATCATTTGAATATGTTTTACAAATTTGGGAAAAATTGAGAAAATCACTTTAAAAATTCCGAATTTCCCCGGACAAATTCCCCTCCTTTCCAAATGTACGGAATTGCACGGTGCATCATATTTTCGTGATCGTTGCTCATCTTAATAACCGTGGTGCTCGTCATTCCAAGCTGTCCAACGAATTCGCTCAGCTAGAAAGTAAAAAATTCACAATTTCAAATTTGGAGCAACAAATGTATATATTCAAGTCTTGCAAAATTTGTACCAAATCTGCATACGTCGTGTTCGCAATATGCCCCAAAATATGCCCCGCCATTCCGATGAGTCCATTATTATACGAAAATTCAGAACGGAAGCCACATTCTTCCGGCGAGTAGCGAAACCGACTAGAAAAAGGTTGAAAGAAATACACTTAATTACGTATGTATGGCGCTAAATCACAACGGATGTCGGCCCAATTTTGTCAAAACTAGTGCAAATCAATCATGAATTTAAGAAATACATGAAATTTGAAAAACGTTCAGGTTTGGAGGAGATATTTGCATCTCCGAAATGGAGGCAAGGCGAAGCAAATTTCGACTGACATTAATTTCATCAAAATCGGAGATCATACGCTGAGAGCCCACTCTTATAGGGTGAATGTCTCAATGAAACCCAATTAATTAAATATATTGTCAACTTACTTCACCATGTCTTCCGTCCCATTAAACGCTTGAGAAACTAGGCCCGATACTTCCTGTTTGATGCACACCCGGTGCGCCAAAATATCCTTGAACGTTACCCTCTCCGACCTGAATCTGTCCCCCAGGGTAAAATTATACCCCGGCGCCAACTCCCTAATTGGCACGTCTAGCACATTCTTCCCCATCGCGGGGTACATTTCATGCAACGTTTTCGCTACAAGTACCGCCGTGAAAGACTTTGTAGCCGAACCGATCGCAAATAACGTTTCTGGGCCGGCGGGTAAGTTGTGCTCAACGTCTCGGTCACCGTACCTGTCCACAAATTATTTCTTCATTCAAAATACATTTAATTACAAAATATTGAAAAGAAAATTACTAATTCATGATTTATTTATTCAGAATTTTAATATAAATATTTATTAACTACATAGTTTTAATATCGCAAATTCGCCCCATTGAATAAATTTCAATGGGGCATTACTGCATAGCAGTTATTTACGTGTCTCAACATACCCCCTGTTATATAGCAGACTTCCGTCCTTCTTAACAATGGAGAGGGACTGGGCGGGGATTTTCTCTTTTTCCATTACTTCAAGGATTAACTGATCAATCTGTGCCTTCATTTCGGGCGGAATTACGTTTTCCGTGATGGATAAGACGGTATTTTTCGAACAAATTTTGAGCCAGGTAATAAGCCCCACGATTAAAATTTTTAAACACGTTGCCATGACAATTCTTAGGAAATTTGCGGCGAGATTTTGTTAACATTTATTCGACTGGAAAGTAGTGTATGATCACGCCCGGTTGCTGGGGCCGATTTTTATATCCCTCCAACCGGGATCGCTTACGGGGACAATTTAAGTGATAATCTGTCTGTAAATAGATTAGTAAGGTCGGGACGTAATTATTAATGGGAAAAACACGGGATGTGACGAACCAATTGTGACGCGATTGGTTGAACTTGACTTGTTACTTGATTGATAATGATTCACAGTGTATCGTGTAGCCTAATCCTTTCAGATTTTTTGCTTATGTAAATATCTATGTACCTGTGTATCTCTTGATTCACTGTATTCATAAATACATACATACCTTTACGGATATCTTTCTCATGTTAAATGGGTCCACTCTAAATAATTTGGAGATAAATGGTCACCCGAGGAGTTTCTATATCAGGGTAACGATTAAGGACGGGAAATAAGTTAAAAATTCGTGTATCAAATCAAGCACAAGTGACTTCTTTATTTACCAAAAACTTGAACAGTTTTACCAAATTACATATAAGATTTATTTTAATTTTTGACTTGTCTCCAAATTTCTTAGAGTGCACATGTGAGCGAGGTACATACGCACAGGTCATTTGAACTAGATATTTACAACGTAATTTATGAGATTTAAATATTGCATCACACTTTAGGTACTGATTGTGTTAAGGTTTTGAGTAGTATTTGATTTAGGAGTGGTGTATAAGGCGTGGCGTGACTAGAGCTTATATCGATGTAAATATGTAATTTAGTATTACGAGAGAGCTGGAAGTAATATATTTTATCTAGTGTACCCAAACTTTTGGGAATTCTGTTTGCCCATCCACCAGCGTGAGGATGTGGGATTAATTGTTGCGCAAGGATGGAAACTGGACAGATTTGTGACAAACTAATCCTAAGTAATTGTGATTTATGTAGGTATTATGTATTAGGTAAGATTGACACCACATTGGACATAAATTGATCAAAATCTGGAAGCACACTTGGGTGCGATTTAGAGCATACCTGCGTCTATAATTTTGACCACCAGTTATAATTTAAGGGATTAAAGTCTGCCGATGCTGAACACCGTTCTAGGGATGAAAAAAGTATATAAAAAATTCGTCTGAAGCCCGTTTTGGACCTTGCACAGGAGCAGAGTATAAACCAGGAAGCTTGAAGAATAGAGCATACACCAACTTTCCAATAATTTCTGAATGGACGTTTCTCATAAGTTGCTGGCTGTATTTAAATCGCCTGTGAGTATAATATAAGGAGGTTATCTTGACCATTTTTTCGCCTATTAATACGCAAGGTATGCCCTTATCCTCCTGGCGCATTGACATTTTACCTTGGCGCACTGACCACTTGTCGACCTGTTGGAGGTAATAGGTGTGGTAGGCTTTGTGAGTTTAAATAAATGCATAAATAAAATTTTAATAAATAAATAAATCTTTTATGATTACAAATTTATGTACATATTTTAAAGCATGCATATGATGATATGAAATTCTGGTATTAAAAAAATCTATTAATGTTATGTCACGGCGTTCAACAAAGTTTTAGCTGATTTAGAAATTTTTAAACTTTGCGAAAGAGAGGAAGAGGAATAATTTAGGTATTACAATTCGCCTAAGCAGCAGGAGGTCGACGCATTCTTTCTTTCTGTTGTGCATAAGATTTTTGTAAAATGAGAATGGAGATAGGTATTTTTGTTGGACGAACAGAACTCGGCACCAGTTAAAAGGTTCGATATATTATTACGAGTATGACCCTTGGTAAGCGCGGCTTGCTTTCTTCCAAAGGAGAAACCAAGCTCTGGTATGAAACCCGGGTTGCTCTAGGAACTCAGGGACTTGCATTTTTACCATCTTTGAATAAACATCTTTGAATAAAGTTCTTGTCCGACAACTAGTAATTTGGGTTGGGTCTGGTGGGAAGTTTGGTTTTGGTGGGAGTAGCTGGTCGTGAGGAGCAGTTGACGGTGTGTAACTAACAATTGTGTCAACCGTTTTTGGAAGAGTTGCTTGCGGGGTTGGTGGGTCAACTCGATTATGTGGTAACTTATGTGTCTCTTCATTATTAGCTCACCCTGCGTAGCATGAGAGCTATTGAATTCCTCTTGTCCGTCCTTCTGTCCGTCTGTCCGTCTGTCTGTTGACGAGTTTTTTGCATCAATTGATGCTAATTAATAAGTCCCTGCTCCATTATTACAGGACTGAGGAGCACAACTGGTATTATGGTGCAATGGTGCAATTCAGCAAATAGATCGCGATAGGACTATAATTTTGGAATAAGTAGCACCGTTTGTAATGAGCAATTATTTATTAAAAATGATGCGTAACAATTGAGCCATATGTTTTCCCCAAAAAATCAATGATGCGTAACAATTGGGCCATCTATTTCCGCCCAAAAATCAATGATGCGTAACAATTGGGCCATCTATTTCCCCCCAAAAATCATATCAGAATTCTGTTCTATTTGTCCCATTATTCTGCACCATTTACGCTAAAATATACTAATTTTATAATGAATAATTGGGGAAGGGATTCCCTACGCACCAATGATGCAGAATGTCGGGAGAAAGAACCATACAATTTTTTTTAAAGTTTTCAAAATTAGGGACCCCGTTGGTCACTAATGTTGCACTAGTGGTGCAAACTAATTCCGGATTTTTTAAATATATTTTTCCGTTTATATTGCACCATTGGCGCAAGAATCTATGAGAGTTATCTATTTTGTCGACTTATTCCGTACCTTTGGTGGAAAGTTATATGACAGGGTGAGCTACTTCTAACGTTACTACCATTTATGTATCTTCATTGTTAAGATATAATTTGGAGGAGAGGATGAAATAACGGGTGGCTGTGGGGGTGAGCTTGGCCAATGATACGGGATTTTTTGATTGCCAAGAGGAGACATATCTGGGTTGCTTGCTGTTGGTGGCGGTGCCATATTATCTTTAGTCATGGTCATATTAGACTCCAGGGAGGGATTGTTGTCTCATGGAGCCTAACCAAACCACCACCGCTTCTTATCATGCCCGACGACGACGAAAGCCAAGCCATGCGTGAGTGTTGAATTATGGAAATATACTCACCGTGCTGGTCCGTCTCATCTCGTCCAAAGGGCGGTTTTAGGGGAGAAAGCAGGCATGCTTCTCTCCATCCCTTCCCTCCATCATCCCTTCCAAGGTCTTCTCTTTATCAACCAGCAGCAAGAACCAGTCAACAAAATTAACAGCAACTTAATACGCAAAGTTTTGACTAAAAACTGACAATTTTTAATATCAACTGAATTTAAACTGAGCTATTTAGTGATATTAAAGTGAGTTATGATTAGTTTAGCTTAATGATTGAATATTGACAAAATCAACAAAATGTGAATAAATAATTACGGGTTTTCAACTACATAATAGTGATTTTGTTGCCAAATTCGATTCATTGGCTGAATTGACGGACGGATCATGCCACAGGTATGCAATTTGGCATAAGTATTTGCATGCAACACATGAATATATAAATCATGTCAATTGTGCATGTTTCGCCGGCATCTAATTAAATTTGCAGATGGCATAATTAATTGATACAGGTACAATGCCTTCACCTTGAGAGGCGCAAATAGGAGATATTGTAATTACCTATAGACTGGTTCATAAACGGTAGCCGTGGTCCCGTGCGATAAATCGTGCGATAAATTAATTTTCTCATTTCCACCCTGCCCATGCAATTTAGTTGTCCTTGACTAGTTTTGATAAACGTATGTATGTCCATTCTCAAAGATGCACTGTTCGCAGGCCAAGTGGGAGCCGGCGGTTGTCCCCACTGCCAGGGAAATTACCTTAACTAAATTTTGGCGGTTGAGGAAAATATTCATGAGGGGACAATTGCTGAGATGAAGCTGGATACATATCAGAAAATATCTCTCGAGTTTTGTCAACATGGATATTTGTAAAATTAACAAAATTTGATCTCGTAAGAACAGCGGGTGCATGGACTACAGTTTTCCAGTCATCTTCTACATATGTTCTTCAGTATTCACGTTAAATAAATCCTATCTATATTTTATTGAACTCGTTCCACAAGGTGGCGTCCTTGAAAATCCTTGATTAGTGTGCATATAAAGGACCCACGATCAGAAATAAATAATTAAAAAATAATATTATTATTATCATTTTTCAGACAAAAGAGCGAGTTGCGTACATACACACTTTCACAATTATACGATAAAATGAATAACTCACCTAGAACTCAATTTTTCCACGAACTTTGATGACCAAAATATGTGGGTCCACTTCACGTTTTTAAGTGATGCCTGTTGTTGAGCCTCATTACCTTTGATTATTGCTCGTATTTTTGTTTCCTTTCGACTACTTTCGAGCAAACGTTTTAAGGAAAAGTCGGCGAGAGGGAATTATTCGTGGATTCCAAAGTTGGGTCTGTGCGACTTTTCACTAATAGGCTGGATAGACCATTGGTTTCGAGTGTGGCTGGGTGCAGATTTTGAGGACTAATTGTGGAAAATTACAGACTTTTTAACCATGAATTGCTTCCTTATTTTCGAGTCATAGGTATTTGCTTGTCTATTCTTGTACATGAAAGAATTTGGTGACCCAACCTTAAATACAGACATTTCAAGTAATAAAATAAGCATGTGGACACCATATGGAGAACTCGGCTTGTATTGCTTGGGTTACTTGAAGAATGCAACGCACATGCATACATATGTATTTAAACACATATACACCATTTACGTGACTGGTGTCATCGTCTTCTTCAGAGATATGTACATACGTGCCACAGCCACAACTAACCTAGAATATTTTTAAATATGGTATCAAAGAATTAAAGATGACAGCTATATACCTGCTAAATCAGTATGTACTGATTCTGTAAACGTGGTTATTTCTGTACTTTTTGAATGAATATTAAATATACTCGGTTAACTAGTTGCTAAAATTGAGATATTAGTTGATATATAATATTAGTAGTTATATAATCACTTCTAACATAATAACAAGATAACAGTCTCTTTTACGTAATACGAAAAGGTATAAGGTTGACCTGGATATGCTAAGAAATAAATTGCACTAATATCCATTTCACACAATCCTTTAATCCGCATGATATATTCATTAAGCAATTTATTAAACCATAAGGAAGGTATCATGCATGTAAAATGTAAGTCTTAAGTTAAGTTTTGGGCCACTTTCCTCACCAGACGTAAACCTAAAATGATGACCACCAGCAGCAGCAGCATCATTATCAGCAAGCACCCTACCCTACCTTCCCATCTAAAAGTCTCGTTGTTATCAATGAAAGCGACAGAGTACTCTGCGTCAATCGTCGCTCCGTGTTGTCCCCCGTCCGTGGTCATCTCGCCCGACCAGGGAGAGGTCGTGTTCGTCACTTCCTGTCCACTCTTTGGAAGGACTCTCGACGGTGCATAATCCACATGTCCTGACGAATTCCTTAGGGGAATTCGTCATGGGTCTCTCCCGCCTGAGCCAAAAGGGGTGGGGACGGTGTCGAGAGGGGAGAGTCGGACGCTCCCAAGTTTGGATCCCCCACCGCCAGGGTCGTCATTACGGTGGACGGAATCTCCGTCTCCCCGTCTCCCACGACAATGGACATTATGGCCGCAGACGTCATCTCTGCAGTAGCCACGGGGCGACGCAGAGTTGTGTGATGCATCACGACTTTTAGGGGCCGTCGTCTTCTGGTACATTCAATAATCAACTTCGTTGAGTTCGCACATGTCTCACGAGACAACGTAGTCATCAAAAATTGGGGAAGAAATTCTATTATGAACATATATACGCTATTATGGGTAGTATTATTTGTAGAACATATTTATAATTCCCATCTTATTCTCTATCGGAAAAATTTACCTCCATCGGTGCACCACACATAATCTGATCGATACTGTAAAAAAACGGATCGGTGCAGCGAGATTTATTCGTCACAAAATGCAACAATAATAACATTGGCATTTCCGTCGCTCAGACACAGGTCACACTCGCTTACTAATTGCAGACACAAGTCGCGGGGAAGAGAGACGTTGCAAGGCTTATCCATCGACCTAACCACTGAACAACCCATAAGCTCCCCAATCAGAAACGATACCACGAGCAACTTTCGACTCCAAAACATGACTAAAATACAAACGATGAATATAGCTGAATGAATAAATGTATGACTGTGTGTAAAATAATGAACATATTTTCGTCACCTCAAAAAGATTAAAATTTTAACCATATTCATCTAAGTAGGTTTCGAAAAGCGAATCATTGTACAGCCTAGTGGAAAGTGTACGCCTGAATCTCTGAATTTTTGCTTAAATACTAATAAATATAAGTATGTAATAATTATGCCATAAAATATACTAGAACTCAATGCATAGCAACACGATAACTCAATATAATTATGTGTCAGTCTATTGGTCCAACCTGAGTGAATGCAGACTGGGATGCTTGCAGATTTATCTTTATGGTGATGGCAATGTAACTTGAGACGAGCAATCATAAGAAGAATGTTAGGGTTAAGTAATTTAGAGCGATTAGATTTAATTAAGATAAACTAAGACCATACCCCTTTGAGGGACTCGTCGACAAAGTATCTTCAAATAATTTTCTTAAAAATATATCTGGGCGTAATTCTTTTGGAATGTCAAAACTGGCGTTGAACCAAGTTACTCAAGCAACGGAAATTTAATTATGCAATTAAATGATAATAAATGTTGTAGTCTAGAATTCAAATTACATACTATCCTCTTACTTGGGCTTGGCACCTCATTTTCACTAATCTCACCATGCCCATTTTCGGCGATACAGGGCTTGCCATTTGAAGAAATTCTATTTCTCTTGCGAATGCGTCAAAATATTCAATTGAGGTGTCAGCCTATAACGATTCGACGAAATACATTTACTTTGCATAAGGGTAACTTTATTTTTAAGAGTACACAGGATATTTTAAATCACAATTTTTAATGTTTAAGCTACATGTACATAGGTATATATGTAAACTTGATTGTCAAAGTAAGCAAAAAGTTAACACAGAGAACGTCCACATATAACGTCATCAGTTTATGGTTAACACAGAGAACGTCCACATATAACGTCATCAGTTTATGGTTAATCTAACAAAACCGCAGCATTTTCTTGTTTCGAGGTTATGTGGCGCATGCCGCAATGCTTATAAGCATTAGAAATTTGATTGTACACCATTCTTTCAATTCTGCATGGATTTTCAAAATTAAACATGTTTTGGAAACATTGGGAATATGGCTACAATATATACTTTCAAATTTGTAAAATTTGACCTAGTTGACCTGAAATCAAGGTCACAAGGTCAAAAAATGACAATATTTGCAAAGTCCTTAAAAATGCGTCTTCACTAATTACAATCGAAATTTTTAAGTCAGACAACTCAGTGTTGTGGTAAAATATTACCCGCATGATATTAGTATCACACAAGACACTGTATAAGATCTCTGCTAAAAGCGCTGAAAGGCACACCCACTGGGGGTGTGGTTTTGGTAAAATCGATACCATTTTTAAGTTTCCCTTATGCTTCTGGTCAAAATGATATGTCACACGACATGCTTTCTCTAAAAGATAGCAAAACCGCTGAAAGCCACACCCCCGTGGGTGGGGATTCAAAATTTTAACCTAGGGGTGTTTTTTGGTGATATGAGGTGACCATTGGGGTTCCCATTCCGTTACAATAAATTATTTGTGTCGCACAATGTACTTAAGATGATTAATCACAAAAACGCTGATGGGCACACCCCCTGTGGGTGGGGATTGAAGATTTTAATGTGGTAATGTAACCATTGGCGAGGGGTGTGACCCTGATTGGATACTGATATTTCTAACACTCCGAGGTGTTAAAACTTAGTAATTTAAACCTAATTTAATTTTTCCACACCCCCTGCCACACCCACAAGGTTTTGAATGACCTGCGGGTAATATTTTGCCACTACGCTGAGTTGTCTGACTTAAAAATTTCGAATATAATTAGTGAAGACGCATTTTTAAGGACTTTGCAAATATTGTCATTTTTGACCTTGTGACCTTGATTTCAGGTCAACTAGGTCAAATTTTACAAATTTGAAATTATATATTGTAGCCATATTTCCAATGTTTCCAAAACATACTTAATTTTGAAAATCCATGGAGATTTGAAAGAATGGCTCACAATCAAAGTTCCAATGCTTATAAGCATGGGCTCGATCGGCCAACTCGTTTCAGCAAAATTGAATAGGAAAATGCTGCGGTTTTAATAGATGAACCATAGTGGGTGGGTGGTTTAGGTCCTTCTATTTTCCCATGTTAAAATTCCATATCTATTAACATACACGGTGGGTGGGTTGGTAATAAAATCGAAAATTTTTGATGACGTAATATATGGACAGCCCATATTTATAGAATTATATTGATCATTCTATTTTTCTTGTATTCATGGTCATGGATATCACAATTGACATTGTTGTAAATGTTGTGACTTTGTACATATTTTAGTAGCTATTTTTGATAAGTATTTACGTACGTATTAGTGTATGGGAAATTAAAAGTATTTGCATAATTATGCAACTGGCAAAATATTACGGCCAGAAAACATCTGCCATTAGTACAAAAACCCATTGAGTATACAAGTGTTGATCAAATAAATCAATTTCGTAATTTATTTATACATGATGCACAATAATTTATTTGTATTTCTCACACATAACATATTCACAATTATCTGGGTATCTTTAACATCGCAAAATATTTGGTTTACGAAGAAAAAAGTAGTCAAGCTTATCGTGACAATCTTAACCGTACGAGGCGCATGTCAGACATGTTTCTCCCGGATTTTCTTAATACCAACACCAAAAATCAAGTATATGTATAAACACGAACAACATTTCAGCACTTCTGCACAATTCGAAATTACTTATCAAGTTTGTATTTTGTCAAATACGCCCATTTTCACTATGTGCATAACTCATAAATGAAAATGCGCGTTATTGCCAATTTTAACCATTATAAGCCGTAAATCTTGCAGAGGTGCCACAACCAAAGCTTCTTTATGGTTAGTTCCTTGATTTTCTTTACTTCTGCTTATGTTTAGATCCAGAAGGAACATGTTTAACATGTGCCTTGTTAGTAATGCAATTTTTCATGACGAAGTGTTACCGCCTTTAGAAAATCTCCTAACTCGTCGTAACCACTTTTATGATGCGAGGAATACCAAGTAATTTTGAATCCTAGCATTATATATTCGCTAGATTTTGTATCAAAAGGCCAATGTTTTGCTACAAGAAATCAATGCTGGATGCTTTGTCTTATATTTTAGGACACCGGACAAATCACGTAGTAATGCGGGTGATCGAAAAAATACGACCAAACCCGCCTCTCTTGTCCTGCCAGGGATTGAGCACCGTTGCAAGTTTCTTCTTCCGTCTTGACCCAATCGATGTCCTCGTTCCCTTTAACGTAGTGGGACCATCTTCCGGAAAACCACTGAATCCCGTAGGATTGAATCCTGGCTCCCAAAATGGTCAAATCGGCGTCCAAGTCCAGTCCCGATTTCCATCTGCAGTCATGCGATGCAGGTTGGTAGTTTGTTATGCACCCGGGAACATTTAGTGCGAACGTAGCTAAAGAAAGTATCAAGGAAATCGTTACCGAAAGAGTGAATTTACTTTTCCAAAGGGTATTATTTTTAAGAGTGTATGATTATAAGATTAAGGTCCTTGTTAACACGGTGTAAGAAAATTTACAAAATGTTTCCTTACCTTGAAACCCGATGAATAAGAAGGCAGCTAAAAAGCTGAAGTACATAATTTTGTTCATTTTATTATTTGAAGCTCCAAGGTTTAGAGCTTAATGGATAATATTTCTTTTAAGTTTAACTCAGCCACAAAGTTTAAACTTAGCTACCCATGGGAGGCAGCAGCTTAATAAATACTAATCTGTAAATTATTCAATACGTAGATTGTATTTTCGCGCTATGTACGATAACTCTGTTATGGTCTGCTCAGGGTTCTAAAAACCCTAGGGTTTTAATACAAAATGACATCCAAGGGCTTTAGTAAAAAAATAACTCAGGGGTTTTAATTGGTGTCTTTCTCTGTTTTATCTGGTTTCAGGGTTCAATTGGATTTTATTTAATTTTTAGCAATACATTCAAGACATTTTTTTCGCAGCTTTTATAACTCCAAGTCCAATCTTATACAAATCCTTGTTACTATTTCAAAACTAGTTTTTATCAATCTGTGGTGTCAATTAATGATTTATTCCGCATTTTCGATTATTACAATATGAAGGAAATTAGTTTCCCAGGCGCCATTAAGTACTTTCGTCTAATGTATGAGAGAAGCTTTTAACTTTTAAAATATAGTTGTCAAATAAAACATAGTTAAAATCCAATCAAAATCAATAAAACCCAGGGAACATGTAACAACCAAATGGGTCTTAATTATTAACAGTCCATTTAAACGCATTAAATAAAAAAATAAAAATAAACCCAATAAACCCTGGGTCGGAATTCCCAGTTATGGTTGTATAATAAATGTATAAAGCATGTATGTACGTATGTAAGTATCTGCATGATTTACATGACAACGCTACATATTGAACTTGACAAAAAAGGCTTTCCATTCTTACCGAATAGCATTCTTCGGATTTCAGTGAATTTACGTTAATTGATGCGTTCACACTGATGTAAATGAACTTATGCCATTTCGTTGGGTGACGTATGCTTACGTGCATAATATGTGTATTTATAAATGTATATGTCTCTACACACATCTATTTATTTGCATAATATGCAAATACGTTGATCTTAATAAATGATCAAATTTTGAATTTCTAGTCAATATTTTTTTTATAATAATTTTCTTAAGTTTCGAAATTAATAGCCTTACTATAACAACTAATTTATCCATTTTTATGCAAATAGATAAAATAAAATTCACGAAGAAGTCGGTTATCTTAAGCAACCCAATATTCATGTCCAAATTAGAATTGTTTCATATTTTGATGAGTGCAATTAAACTTATTTAGTTTTACGATATATAATGTACCAAAATATATCAAATTTTGCATAGGCCAGGGGACGTTCATAAATTATATAACGCAAACGTAACAATTTTATCGACCCAACTCCCCCGTTTAACCTGTGGCACATGGGCATGAAATCATTGGACTCTTAAACCTCCCCCTCTCGCTTTACTTAATTTATTAACGTCCCCTCAAAAAGGCTGAATAATTTAAAATTATACAGAGTTAAGATCGGATTGGACCGCGAATACTGCTAAAATCACAACTCGCGTAGCCATCCATCAGATCTTCGCACATGGTGGACGAACAGGTGACGGACGAGAGGGGGCAATCGAGACAACGCGACTCCACGCAATTGGGGGCATTATAGGGTCCCATTACTTCATCCATACAGAATGGTTTTCCTGTTATCATCAAACATGTGTCAGAGGGCGCGTTGCAGTAGTACGTGCAGCAATTTCTCGAGTGACAGTGTCCCCCGAGACAACTTGACACCTGACGCGTGTCTGGCTTGTTGCTCGCGTACCAGTCAAGCCCTCCTGGAAATTCAAATTATTTATTCCTTAGTATACAGAACTGAACGCCATACATTAAGTTCAAGCAAAATATAGATAAATTCCCAAAGTTTCACCGTAGTTTATTACATAAATTTATTAGTTAAATTTTTAAAGAAATGCAAAATTTTGTAAAAGCTAGTAGCAGAACTTTACAAACTTCGTTCGCTTTGCTAATATCGGAGTTACATAAGTTGTTTAATGTCTGAAATGTTAAAGGTTACACTTACTCGATGAGACGTTCTTAAATTGCAAACTTCCCGTGACGGTAAACCCAACAAACAGGGTGCTGAATACGACAAACTAGAAATTCAGAGGAAGAAAATTACATATTTTGAGTAATTTTGACGTAATTGATCACGTATTGAGTTAAACATTTTTTGAAAACAGATTACATATCCGCGGATTAAGTTTAAACACCATTACAAAAAGCGTGTAATCCATTTTTGAAATTTTTGTTTGAAACTTTGAAGACGTTGAAGTATTAAAAATTAATACAATATTTTACTTTCCACTTACACATATATAGAGTTTCGACATGGTTCTGACTTCTTGGTCTCTACAAATGTATTCAAAAATCGAGTGCGTTTTTATCCTATGTTCACGCTCCTTTTAAACAAATTTGTCCGTTAGTGTAAATCTGTAGATCCTTGCGCAATTTTTATTCGGAGGAAAACCACAAAAGTCAATATTGTCCATTAAATTCCATTAATTCGTACCAGAAGAGTTTATTATGTACGATTTTGCAATGACTTTGAGTTAAAGCGAATCTCTGGAATTATACTCTTCAAATACTTACTCAATAATTGTCTAAATTTTATTAACTTGCTTTTCCAGAATTGCGTGCAAACACGTGTAAACAAATAATTGCTACTTGGAAGCTAAAACCAATATTTGACTTTTAGAGCTTACAATCAATTGTTAGTTAGAAATGTGGACCAGGATTTTTTTAAATTTTCAGTGAATACCATTTCCGAGAAAACACACATAAATATTTACTGTTTTTCGTATTAAAATAAGTTACATAAAATATTGAAAATACGAGTGTAAAGGTGTTGCCAAATTCATTCAACCTGAATTTAAATAACTCTTTTTAATTATATTTTGCACAATAAATTCCTCGGAAACTTGACGCCCATGACTTTCATTTCCAATTTATTTAATCAGCTTTGCTACTTACTAATAAATACACTTGTTCAAACAGGCTCGTTTAATCTGAAAATTCTTTACGTCAAAACGTCCAGTTGATTTAAATAAAATTCATAGTCTACAATAAATACAGGATTCTTCTTCCTCTGGTACTTGTAATTAATAGTTTGCCCTCCTGCCTCTAATCAACTTGAAAAATTAGCGGACATAAAATCCTTCAAAAAATCGAAAAATTTCAATTTGCTAAAATGGATTTCAAATTATTCACAGTTCTCCAATTGCTCTGCCTTGCGACATCATGTTTTGCGCAGCTGGGTAATTTTCCTAATCTATTTATAAGGAAGGTATTGACATTTTTGCACTAATCTTGCGCATCGAATATTCCTCCCTTTTAGCGCCATGTCCAACCTGCAACGAAGAGGCGTGCTGTTCCGCCCAGTGTCCGAACAGTTTCTTTTGCTCAGTTACAAGTGGACAGGCTCCGGAGTGTTTTGACTCTGTCACTGGCATGTTTTGGACATCGCGAATATGCAAACGACCAAACTGCGAGTCTTGCACATCCGCGCAAATTTCATGTGCCGGCGTGACTCGGATTTGCCGAAGCACAGCGACGCATGGCGTGTGTTCATTCAACTATTGAGGAAATTGTTGGACTTGATTTTTGAAAAGTACTATTTTTAAAAAAGTTGCAATTTTTCGAAATTGCAATTGCGAATGTCTGAATTTGAAATTAAAATGAATCTTACCACATCTCTGCAAAATATGATATTGTATTAGAATTATTAAATTGTATGTATATTAGATAAGAAGTGTGATGAGCAGTTAGTATAATTTGATTCTTGAAAAGTATGATGCAAAGTGTCCACTTTTAATTCGACTTAAAAAACATCCAGATACGATTTAAAGTGACATATGTATTATGGTTTTTTAGTCAACATAAGCTTGTCTAAAAGTTTAACAATAAAATGTTTTTGAATTCGCATATGTAGCCAGCCACACGAGGTTTTTAGGCCAGTTGCATTCGCTAAACGCACTGATCTACATTCATATTTATTTGCGCACGCAAATAAATCATGGAACCGCCTTGCTGTTGCATCTAAAATGTGTTTAATTTTTTAGTCGCGCTGGAATTCGAAAAGCGACAGCTTTTTGAAAAATCCTGATATTTGTTGAATTTTGTTTAGAAATTCCAGAACTGGCGAAACCATGCGCATTCTGAACAACGCCAAAATATTGGTGCACTTATTTCGTAACGTGAATAAATAAACAATTAGTCCGATCGAAATCGGATATTACCACTATAAACGTTCTAATTGTTTCAAAAATGGTGGATGTTGGATTTTGAAGTATTTAAGTACGACTAATAGTAAGATGATAACTCAATAATACTTTGCAAATACCTTGAGGGTATTCTATTCCATCGCATCCATACAGTGCCCGATCTTGGATTTTGGCGCCCTGGGCAAACATATGATGCGCCCCTGTCCCTCTAAAAATCTTAAATTTCCACAACTAACTTGCTAAATTGGTTTCTTTATGCTTTTATACTAATATTAGATAAAGTATTTGCATATTATTGAGTTTATTAATTGTCAAGGAAATTCAGAGTTGGGCCATCTCGTGCTAAAATTGTTCACATGCGGTCGGGTTAGACAAAATTCATACAATTTTCCTTAACTATGAAGAAATGGAATTGAATGTAAAAATAATAACAGAAATTGTTGTTTTATAAAGTGCATCTATTGCTATTGCAAAATTTATTCCGTCGATAAGAACTATCCAAATGGTAAACAAGTGACTTACTGCGTATGAGATTAACTTAAAACCCGCAGTGCAGCTTCATATAGCCCGAGTCAGTGTGTTGAATTATAAATGATCAATTTTAATTCAATTCCACTTCATGGTTTTCCACTAGTCGTAAATGTCATAATTCTTTCGAAATTCGTTTCATATTCTCCGATTATATATTTTATTAACTTCAATACCGATTTCAGCTCTCTGCCACTATTTAGAAATTTAGGTGCATAGTACCCCACCCACAAATATGACCCCCACGGGTCAACCACTGAACCAATGACAGTTATCTTCGAACTTAGCCTCCCTCCCTATTGAGGAATATCGAGGGTAATGTGTCACGAAACCCGTTTCCATATTTAGCGAGAGGCAGAGTGAGACTCGGATTCTGAAGGGTATCCACCACCATCGCGCGTCAGGGTCGTAGAAGAATTATGTCTAACTTCGCCTCTCTATTTCTCATTGGCTATGTTTTGTTAGGGCTCTTTCCGTATCAACCACTCCCTCAAAAAAAATTGACCCCAAAAACCCCCTGGTACCCACAATTTTCCTTCGGACAACAAAAACCGAAATTAAAGCTCTTCTCAAGGAAGAAAATCTAGCATCAGGTTGTCAGACATAAAAGTGCGGGAGCCATGAGCTTTTAAATTATTTGTGTACCTCCGATTTTCGAATTTTGTAACTTTTGATGCGTGAGAACCTTCGTATTCATAGGACAACTCAAATTTCAAATGTAAGTTAGGATCTAATTCTTATGTTACCCAGTGTACATTGGCTTTCTCATTTTTCCCAGTTTCTTTTCTCAATATCTGAAGGGCGTGGTTGCATATAATTCAAAAATGGCTATACTACATTAATGGTTGCACCCGATATTTTGCTTCCAAATATTTAATTTGGTAAAATCGAAACTTGGAGACAGAAGACAGACGGACAAAACGATTCCATAAGCCTTGACTCGGGCTAAAATTGTGTCAAAGCGAGCACATTGTTGCATAACTTGCTACTATATGATTCATTGACGAACATAAAGTAGTGGAATTGTGGAAAATGCAAGTTATTAATAAAAACGAGGATTTGCACAAACTCTTCTGGCACGCTGGGATCCTATTTAGTACGCCACTCATTCTTAATTTTAAGATTAATTTCAAGATTAAACTGGGGACGGTGACACTCAATCTTATTTAGTGTACGCTCGGGCGTAGGGCATGCAATACCGGAGCTATTTCTCAAAACCAGTATTCGGTATTTTCGGTATTGGGGGCGTCGGTAATACCGGTATTACCGATATAATTCGCGAAATATTATTGCATTAAAATCAATGAAAATAAAATGTTCTCTAATCTGTAAGTCATTGCAAGAATTTATTCATATATTCCTGACATTACAAGCTAAATAAATATGTATTTATTTTAGGTTTTAGCCCTTTTAATCAAAACTCAATCGATTTTTTGGAAATGTGATCTTAAAAGGCATAAGTGATCTAAGTGTCGTCTCTCATACTACTCGTAATTAATTGCATTGGTACAACAACTACATAATGTATTTATTTTTATAGCAAAAGGTAAAATGAAATTCACATAGAAGTCAGTTATCTTAGGTAACCAAATACTCGTGTACAAATTAAAATTATTAATTAGCTTCGTCTACTTTATGCGAAGACTTTGTCCGTCTGTCTGTCTGTCGGTCTATCTGCCAGCATGATAACGAGAGTACGGATTGAGATAATCGAAATGGGTTTTCCACATTATACACATAACCCCAGGGGGAGTATCTGTTCAACTTTTGGGGTTACCCGGACCACCCCCACCGCCGACAGATATGGTCAGGGTAAAATGAGATTTTTAATGCAATTGAATCTATGGATGAAATATAGTGAAAAATTGAGTTCCACCATTGTGCCACACCCACTGGGCGATAGGAGGTGTAGTCGGGGATTCTTTCAAAAATTGAATATAGAGATGAAATACAGGAAAATTAAGTGCATCCTAGTTGTGCCACACTCCATGGGGCAGGGGGGTGTGGCACAACTGAGGGTGTCCCCGATATGTCGTGGGATTGGTAGGGGTGAAGTGAGTCTGAAGCTACTTCCTTATGTGCATTTACGACAGTTTATTTTATATTTTAGTCTACTCAATTTAACCTATTTAGTTTTACGACAGACCAAAATATATCAAATATTTTTCACGAGCCAAAGGACGTTCATAAATTATGTAATGCAAATATAACAATAACAAAGACCCGCTTCCCCCGTTTAAAATGTGTCACGATATCTTTAGAGCCTTAAACCTCCCCGTTTCGAGTTACAGAATTTATTAACGGCCCCTCAAAAAGGGTGAATCAGTTAAACTTTTGCAAAATTAAGGCTGGGCAGGGCCGCGAATACTGCTAAAGTCACACATCATCATTGAGGGATATCCTTCAAGATCTTCGCACAAGATGGACGAACAGTGCAATCCAGACGAGAGGGGGCAATCGAGACAGCGCGACTCCACGCAATGCATGGCATTATAGGGTCCCATTACTTCATCCATACAGAATGGTTTTCCTGTGATCATCAAGCATGTGTCCGTGGGCGCGTTGCAGTAGTAAGTGCAGCAATTTCTCGAGTGACAGTGTCCCCCGAGACAGCTTGAGACCTGTCGCGTCTCTGGCTTGTTGCCCGCGTACCAGTCGAGCCCTCCTGGAAATTAAATGTTTAGCTTATTGGTATGTATACAGAACTGAACGCCATATATTATATAGAGAGATGTCACTCAAATGTTGTTAACTTACAAAACAAACATGTACCTATACATAAATTTAAATAAATTTAAGAAGTTTCGAAGTTAATTACATGTATTTGTTAGTTTAATTTTCAACAAAATGCAAGATTTTGTAAAAGCTAGTAGCAGAGCATTACAAACTTCGTTAGCTTTGCAAATATCGGAGTTAAGTTGTTTAATGTCTGAAATATTAAAGGTTACACTTACTCGATGAGACGTTCTTAAATTGCAAACTTCCTGCGACGGCAAACCCAACAAACATGGTGCTGAATACGACAAACTAGAAATTCAGAGGAAAAAAGTTATAAATTTTGAGAAAATTCCAGGTATGTAATTGATCAAGGATTGAGCTCAGCAATTTTTAGAAAACAGGTTACATATTCCGCGGATTCAGCTTCATCGTGTATACAAGGGCCAAAAGCGAGTGAGCAATTTTTTTATTTTTTTTAACTATTAAGTCGTTGAAGTATTAAAAATTAGTACAATAATTTACTTTCTACTTACACAAATGTAGAGTTTCGACATGGTTCTGACTTCTTGGTCTGTACAAATTTATCCAAAAATCGAGTGTGTTTTTTTGCCATGCTCAAACTCCTTTTAAACAAATTTATCCGTTAGTGTAAGTTTGTACTTCCATGCGCAAATTTGATTCTGAGGAAAACCACAAAGGTCAATATTGTCCATTAAATTCATTAATTCGTACCAAAAGAGTTTATTATGTACGATTTTGTCATGAATTTGAGTTAGGGCGAATCTCTGGAATTATACTCTTCAAATACTCGATAATTGTCTCAGAGAAAAAAATACTGAAAACCATGTTGAAAATATCGCCACATTTTTTTAACTTGTTTTTCCAGAATTGTGTGCAAACAAGTGTACACAAATAATTGCTACCTGCTTGGAGGTTAAAACCAATATTTGACCCTTAAAGTGTAATTTGAAATGTAGACCAGAATCTTTTTAAATTGCAGTGAAAAACATTTCCGGGAAATCTTAGGTAAATATTTACTGCTTTTCGTATTAAAATCAGTTACGTAAAACTTGAGTACAAAGGTGTTGTCAAATTCATTCCACGTCAAGATAAATAAATTTGTGTGGTTTTATTTTCCAGAATAAATTCCTCGGAAAACTTGACGCCCATGACTTTCATTTCCAATTTATTCAATCAGCTTTGGTATTTTAATGCACTTGTTTAAACAGATTCGTGTGATCTTAAAATTCTTTACGTCAAAATGTTGAGGTGATTGAAATAAAATTCATAGTTTACAATAAATACAGCATTCTTCTTCCTCTCGAGTTTGTACTTAATTGTTTGCCCTTCTTCTTCTAATCAACTTGAAAAATTAGCGGGGTTAAAATCCTGCAAAAAATAGAAAAAATTTCACATTGCAAAAATGGGTTTAAGATTATTCAAAGTTGTCCAACTGCTCTTACTTGCGACATCATGTTTTGCGCAGCTGGGTAATTTTTCTAATTTATTTATAAGGTGTTATCATTTTTGCACTAATCTTGCGCATTGAATGTTCCTCCCTTTTAGCGCCATGTCCAACCTGCAACGAAGAGGCGTGCTGTTCCGCCCAGTGTCCAAACACCTTCTTTTGCTTAGTGGCAAGTGGAAGTGCTCCGGAGTGTTTCCAGCCTCCTGGCACCTTTGCTCCGCCGCGAGTATGCATACGACCAAATTGCGAGTCTTGCACATCCGCTCAAATTTCATGTGCCGGCGTGACACGGATTTGCAGAAGCACAGCGTACCATGGCGTGTGCTCGTATAACTATTGAAGAGTTTGCTCGACTCATTTTTAAAAATTGTGAAGTGAATGACATTTGTAATTTTGCGGAATTGAAATTATGAATATATTGAATTGAAATTAAAATAAATCCTCCCAGATATTATATTGGAATTTTTAAATTGCACATTAATCTAGAAATGTGATATACGGGTAGTGGAATATTTCTGTAGGTAGATACTAGCATGTAATTTCCGAAGTTTTAGAAATTTCGATATCGACCAGATAAACCCAGATTTACCGGTAGCTAATATGAACTCTGCGCCACGTTTACTAAATAATCCAGGCGTGGCCAAAAGTTTTTGAGGGGTTGGGGCACAGAATGAATCCGAATTTTAACCAATTCGATAAAAGTCGATATTCGGAAGGGAAGCTACATATGTCCCCAAATTGAAATTTGGCATATACGTGACTACGGTAATTCTGGACTAATTGCAAGATAATTTCATTTTCGAATTATGTTATAGTTCAAAAATAACTCTATCGATGTGGAACTTCGTCGCAAATAATGCTTTATGTTTATGTATCATACAAATATGTCGCTTCGATAATAATGGCAATTTTTTACGATTTATCCTCAAAAGAGGTCGACGCCATCCAGTTTTGCGTAGACAGAGACACCGCAAATTTTTCGATTAAGGGGCTCAGGCAGGATGTTGAAGCGACATACTGTAAAATCAGTTTTACAGGAGGCGCGAAAGATGCTACCAGCGCTCCAAGGCATATGTACGATAAGCGGCGACCTTGATTCTCATGCATGGTACATACATAATTAAGATATTGATAATTTTACATAGATGAGCATAGTTACATACATGGAGACATACCTGGTCCGTATTATACTATATTTATTTATTTTAAATTAGTTCATAGTCGTAATTTTTACTTTAACAATAGTTATTAGTCGTAATTAACATAGTTAGTTGCCTTGACGTATGCTAGGGCGTAGTTCTCCCGCCATAACTTTAAGTTGTTACGTCAAATAGTAACTATGTATCAAAACTGAGATATGTCGCTAAAAGTTGCTAAAAGCCTATACAATCTGCTTACCGAATGGCGCTATTTCTAATTAGAATTATATTTTCACTTTCTTCATTCACAATCCCACCGTATCCAATTTTCACATAAGCCAGCAACAAATATTTACACCTCGATTATTCGACTTTCCGATGATAGTTTGGACTTGTACATATTCGCATTAAAAGGCGAGCAGTAAGTCAACCGTATTTTCAGATATGTATTTACACGCCAGCATTTTTAACGACTTCTGCACGCTACCGAACCCACCAACCTGGATACCCAAAGGTCTCATAGATTTCCAAGTTCTTCGCTCAAATTTCGATGTATTTCCTCCGTTTATTCGACTGGAAATCAAATGCTCCGAAAATTCCACTACCCTGGCCGCTTGTGGGATCATCATTAGAACGAAGCAAGTTCCAAATAAACAAATTGTTGGGAGAACCAAGTAAAGCAGCAAGCTAACTTTTCCCCAAATTCTGATTGAACCAAAGTATGCCAGCACAATGACAGAAATTCCAAAAAAGATTAATGGCGGGACGGAGAACGAGCAGAAATTTTGATTCGTGTACTTATTCCACAAAAACAATTTTCTGCACAGGTGAATTTCCTGGTATCTTCGGATCAAATCATGGCGAAGATTAGATTCTCGCAGATCTCGTAGCATATCGTTTGTCGCACAGACAACCATAAGTCCCACGATGAAGAATGAATTTATTGCCGCCATGACGGAGAAAGCGACAAGTAAAGCGATTATGCTTCGGAATAAAATTATTAGAATCTTGTTCCTATAGAAGTTTCCTTCCATTAGGACGTGAAGAGGGTCGATTTGGAAGTAAACAGCAAGAATCACTACCGGCCCAATAATAATGAACGTGACCCAGAGCATTAGTTTCATACCAAGTTCGACCACGGCATAGTTATTGGCGGTTCTAGCCTCGGTGAGATCTGAAACAGTACTTCAATTAGTAAACACACTATTCAAAAAGGAAAAAGTGGGACTTTTTACTTGTTTCCCACTTTGTCTCATCTGCCGTGGTAAAATAGGTTTAGACGAGAAAAATAAAGCCATGATCTAAAATTGTATGCTACATTTTAAACACCTGGATAGTTGTGTGTATTAGATTTAATATTTGACATATGTACAGGCAAGTAAGAAACGCAATACTGGTAAAATCATAAGAAAAGTTTTCAAGCTTTATCCATACCTTGTGTTTCATTCTGGAAATCCGCAATCTTGCCTAATATAACTTCCGCAATTATTGGCGTGAACGCTATGACATAATTCATTCCTAAAAATGAAGATGGCAAAAATCCCACCAGAACCTGAACGTAGATTCGAACTACTCGCACGGCTTCAGACGGCTTCAAAGCAAGCGGATCTGCCTGGGGATTCTTCACAAAGAAAGGTTTACATAAAATAGCAAAGCAGAACAGAGTGTAACAGAAAACGCAAAGATTGCAAAATATTGTGAAATAGCGTCGTTTTCGTGACATGTTGCGTAGGAAGAGCATCTGCCTTCTGCAAATGGATGTCTTGAAAGGGAGTAGATATAATGTATCGCCAAACAGTCGGTCCATGAGGTAGGCAAGTTCCCACATTCCATGAGTTGCCATATTTGTCTTGTTGGTGAAGAGATAAACAATTTCAAATTTTATGCAATTTACAAATAGTGAAACAAGATACGAAGTAAGTTAACAGCAAGCAAGCTAAAAAGGTAAGAAAGATAAGAAAGTATCTCAATGAGACAACTAGTTCTGGAACTTGTGTACGTGACTAAGAATTTTGCCAACTCTGCTTTGGATTTATGGTCATGCAAAATCATAATAATGAGGTTCGTCAATTCCACCGGCACTCTTAAAAATAATGTTGACTGTTTTGTGCACTAGAAACTTATCCTTAAGTAAACTATAGGGATACTAAATCCCAAGGAGGGTAAACTTCATAAAGAGGAAAATTTATCCTGGATTTTGTATATATAATTTACTTGATGTAGACTTTACAGTGCAACTTCTTATCAAAATGGTAAATTTATTTTTAATAGTCTAACTCGAACGATATAATTTTATTATCAAAGTATATTTGGCATTTTAGAATTCAACCAGGACGGAACTTGGTCTCAAATAAATTATGTTCCACCATACTCTTGTGTGTATGCAATATGTTCTCATAATAATGGTAATTTTTTCGACATATTCTCTTCTCTATAAGATGCATAATTAAAACGTTTAGAATTTTGGAACTAATATAACTGACGATATTGCTCTCTCCCCGGCATTATCGGATTATGGCGGCTAAAAGACAGAATTGGGGATTTTAAGTTTGGCCAAAGATATGTACATATGTACGAGAATCTGCACAATACATACATACATAAGCAGGAGATAAGCTTACATATTAAGTTAATCAAAATAGTTGGAATTTCTTGCATGACAATCAAGTTGATACATATGTATGCCAAGTATTTGGTAGTGAATTCATTTCATTTTTATTTTAAAAAAGCTCGGGTGCATAAAGACCCCAGAAATTATAAACTATACTTGCCTATAAGCCCGTCCAATAGACGGGCCACATTTCAAATTTTACACGCATATGTCAAAATTACTTATCAAATTAAGGCAGTACATAAAGGTCGCAAAATACTAATTTACAATATTCGGTTACAATATTTTGACATCAATGATATTTTTTAAATTGTGTTATTACTTCAAAAGTTCACCTATACTGTATAACAATAATTAATTATGTTTTGCATTTCTAATAATTA